ACTGATCCCAACTAGAATAACGGCGAATGAGTAAAAAGTTGGAATGCTATGGAGTTCAATATCATTATCATATCCATACTAGACCAACCGCTGGTGTCCGGCAAATTGGAAGATTGTGGAAAACTACACCTACTTATAATTTGTAAGTAAGTGGTAACTGTACCTTTTGGCCTTCCGAGCACCCCTCTATAGATCGCTGCCCAGCAAAAAGTGCTGGAAGATGAATACGCTGGTGGAAGTTCAACAGGACACTGTATCTGAGGAGTCGATAAAGCATAATATGGGTTAGGTCAGGTTTTATTAGGTAAATATAGGTAAATACATTTGAGCTCCCTCTTTCTACATAGCTATGATGCAGAACATGTGGCGTTGCTAGTAATGGAACTGCGTCAGGAGGGCAGACATTAAAAAACTTCCTAGAAATCGTTCATAAGTCTAGTTTTGAATGCCATTTGCGTGATTTTAAGGAAAAAACGGTCGCCTGTGGGGGGGAGGGGAAAGGGGAAGGGTATATGTAAATCGGATGCCCTGATGCTGAAAGTGTTTGAAGCATGTTAGAAGGAGGCCATCGCGGTTTTTTCAATATCCTTAAGGTCACACAAAGAGAAGATTGCGGAGGTCACGAGAGCATCCCCGAGTGTCGGAGGTGCGCCCATTATACGCCCTTGCTGGTTACCGGGTCTGCCGACCAGATGACGAAACACGGAAGTCCAGCACAATCATCGGTATTTATTCTAAACAAACATATTACTGAAAATTAGCGTGCAGTATGTTTTTTTATAAATGTAATTACACTGCTTCCATTTCAGAGAACGTCTTTGTCATGCTGGTCCAACTTCACCTTAAACTGTTTACTATCTGAGCACCATGTTCGCACATGTCATTGATTTCCTTCATATGCATTCATCTGGCCTCCTTCTCGAGCCGCTTCGTAGATGCGCTGCACCAACAAGGAGGCTGGACCAGCGCACGTTGGGCATTATTCGGATTGCGTTCTCTCATAAAAAGTGCCGAACGTGCTGGCACGTATAGATGCAAACTCAAACAGTAGCCAACCGTAGCTACTTCCACTATTTGGGCTCGAATATGCTAGCCGAAATCAAGAACCGAATTGCGCAGGCTAGAAATGAATCCAGGCTACTAGCCAGACCTTTCTGGTCTGGCTCAGACATTAGCTTACATACTAAGCTGCTGATATTAGAAAGAATCAATCAGACCGGTGTTAGTATATGCCTGCAAAATATGGCCAGTGAGAAAGGCAGATATCCTATCACTCGAAGTCTTTGACCGTCGGTGTCTTCGACGCCTCCTAAGAGTCTTCTGGCAGGATCGAATTTCCAATTTCGAGCTATACCGCAGATGTTTCAAACTCCAGGATCTAGCATTATACATTCAGCATCGCCGATTGCAATGGTTTGGCCATGCCCTGCGCAAGCCATAGACGGACCTCTGCAGATTGGTCGTGAACCCCTCTAGTAGTGCAAACCGGACAAGGCGGTCAACTGAAGACATGGCTCAACACCGTCAAGTCGGACGCTGAACGGATGGGCCTCGTAACCGTTAACGGCTT